CTTCATAAAGTATTTAAAACACTACTCAAGTTACTTTCACTGTAAACTATCTTGAGTAGAGTAGATACTTAAAAATGTACTTCAAATATCTTTTGAAGATAGTTCCGCATTGCGTAATTTAAAACGACGTCGATAACAACGACAATTATACAGCTGCGCAAATCTTGGTTACCAGAATTGCTTATTAGCATGCAACAACACAAAACAGGAAAAGAATAAAGTATTGCAGGGCTATTTTACACCAACTCAACTCTCCTACGTCACGCCGCGGTGGTGGCGCGCCGGACGCACTTCCGGTCTGTGGCGGTGGGCAGAAGTCGCCGTGTCAGACATGCATTCCTGTGTTCCCTTGGAAGAAACGAGACAAAAAACCTGCTTTCTCGTCAAAATGCTGCGACGGGGGTTGTACCAAGAGAGTCTGGAAAGGTTTGAAGATCAGTTTTCATGTGTTTTTGCCCCCTCCGTTCGTCCGAGAACGTGGATAGTAGCCGTGAAAAGGGCAAACCAGACACTGTCGAACTACGATTGCGTGCGCGGGCAACACTTTGTGGTCGCCAGATGTATTTCCTTTGTTCCAACATAAACGAGAGAAAACCGCCAAGTTGTCCGAACCACCCACGGGTTCAGTGCGTCTTCAAATTCACACGGCCGCCTGATCGTTCGAACTTTCGTCTGCTCTTTCAAACGTCTGCTTTTTGTCGTCTGCTTGTTCAAACAAAAGCGGCCCGTAGACCAAACTTTGACCCGGTGATTGCAATAAGAAGTAATTGCAGACCTCAAAAGACTTAAGTAGGCTCGGTGAAAAAGGTAGATACAAGATGTTGATCATTGGTACCGGTGGTCATCACCGGATTGTTACGCTTGGTCTGTTCCCGCTTCCGATTTTCAGTATCGACGTCGATCATCGCCGCTACCTTCTACACTTTTGCAACACGAGCGACGTCGTTACCGAAAATAGCTGGAAGAATCTCATCATGGTTCTGGCGTCCATTCTGCGGCGTTCATGCGAATGAATCGCCGCACGTCAAATTATTTACGGAAAGTTTGATAATTTCGCTTAAGCGATTAAAGTGGTAAGACATTGCGATGAGGACGTAGAATCGACAATTCCAATGCGAAAAAGAGTAGGCAGACTCACACAGACGCCGACAACGTGACATTCGAGTGGTTTGTTGACGCGAAACGCGGTGCTTCTTGCCCGTACCCCACTACGCATGCGTTCGAACTGTCGTCTGCTCTTTCAAACTTGGCTGCTTTTTGTCGTCAGCTCGTTCAAACGACAGCGACCCGGAAACCAAACGTTAACCCGGTAATTGCGATAAGAACTAAGTGCAGGCCTCAGAACACTTTTGAAGGTTGGTTGGGGTAAGTAGGCTAAGTGTAAACAGGTGCAAGAAGATGTTTATCATTATTGTTACCAGTGGCCATCACCGACTTGTAATGCCCGATTCTACTTGCGGTTTTCAGTATCGACGTCCACCATCTCAGCTACGGTCCACGCTTTTGCAGTCCGAGCAACGTCGCGTCTGAAAACAGCGAGCAGAATCTCATCGTGGGAGTCAGGCTTTAGCGCCCATTCTGCGGCGTCCACGTGAAATGAATCGGCGCACGTCACATTATTCACGCAAAGTTTTGCCTCGTTAGTTTTGCTGAAGCCGCTCAAATAGTCAGACATTGTTAGGAGGACGTAGCATCAACAATTCCAACGCGAAAAAGAGCACGGGGACTTCCACCGACGCCGACAACAACGCAATTCAATGGTTTGTTTATGGGCGACGGCGGGCTTCTTGCCCACCATCCACCGCGCATGCGCGGCGCCGGTGGCGTCCGCTAGGTGCGCTCCCGTTTGTTTGTAAACATGAGTTGGTGCAGGATATTGTCACGAATGACTAACGATGAGACGTCGAGTAACTGGAGAAACTATACGTTTAACGGGGCGAACTTGTGCCCAAAACTGAATCGAGAAAGGCTAGCGTCGCAGGCGTCGATGTCGGCGAAACAGCAGGATCGAGCGCTGGGGCGAGACTGACTCCGGCTTGCCACGCGGAGCCCCTTTTGTACCCGCGTGGGTTTCTGGAACAATGGGGACTTGTAGTAGACCGCTTCCGCAGCCCGCTAAGCACCCGGATAGCGCTCCCTAATCCGCCACGAGACCTTGAACTATGCAGACAAGGCTGGCGGCGCGCATGCGCAGCTGCGGCGTTTTCTTCACGGATACCGTAGCGGAGAAGAAAAACGGTCTACTACAATTCCCTATTCGGCCTAGAACGTTCGGCGCGTAGAACATTTGTAACTCCATCAGACGGCAGGGCTCTCGAACTTACGAGGTTGTCAAATTGAAAGAATACATAAAAGAGGAGTCCGCTCCCTGTTATTGAACCCGGACGCTCCCCGCGATAGCCAAGCGCGGTAGCCATTCGGCCACGCGCTCGCTCGGCAACGCGCGTAGCAATATCATTGATACATGTTACAAAACATTTCTGGGACAACAAGAAATTAGTCGCTTTAGCTATTGGGGAGGAGATCAGACCGTGGCGCCCCAAACGGTTAACTTTAGAACTACATGAATGCGGACAACGAATAACAATGACGCAACGCTCGGCTGACATAACCGAACGCGGAGTCAGCGTTTGCCTGGAGTTCGTGTTCTCCCATGAGGGGGAGGAGGGGCTCTTTTGTTATCACTCCGGCCTGCATGAACAATGCAGCATGCACGGTGCCCAGATCAGCACAAAAGCTCAAATGGGTCAAGCTCGCCTCTTCTGACGACTGCTTTCGGGAGAGATCCGGCACTTAACGTCCCTTCACTAATTGTTGGTATTTTTTTTCATTACACTGTGCCCCGCGCTCTATTAAAAAAGATGACATGAACATGCCCACAAGGCCTGTGGGCATGTGCACAGGCCTTGTGTTGGGTAAACACCGAGGTGTGGGGGTGACTAACGGGTCAGAGCGCTTCGCCAACAGTGACATCACTGAATATCACGTCCTGCGGTGCACCTTAGACGCATAGTTTAGCTACAATCCATATTCCCTATATCTGGAGTTCACTATAAACGAACTTGGGATACTGATATAAGTGAATGGATAACAGAGAACCCACATAATAGCCACGGCAGTGGTCGCACCTTCATCAAATAGGTTGCGTTCAGAAAGGCAGTCAACGTTGGGGGTCGCTTTATTGGCACTTTTAATGGTCATCCAGCTTGTAGTTATTTTCTGTCCTGCACCCTGCTTATCAGTGTTCGCGAGAGCAATAAGTGACGGACTGACGACAAAAAGAAAAGAAACAAAAGAAAACCTCGACGTTCTGCCGTAGCGGGATCGAATATGCAGAAAGCAAAACAAAAATGTCTTTGTGTGTGTGTGTCCACTTCTCATTTTTTACTATTTGTCATTTTCTTGACACTCAAGTCTGCATTGTTGTCGTAGGTCGTCTCCCGGTATGCGTTGCGCCTCAGCGTGGTTTTCTTTACTTCCGTAAAACCAACCCTTTCATTTAAGGATTTTTTGGGGGAAACTTTTGGAAACAAAAGGCGCCTTTGGGAAGGTGAGGAAGAACCCTTCATTGTACGAACTTTAGACTGAAATATGCTCGGCTCAAAAACGATGTTTTCACGAGCTCAGCCAAAGTCACCTTAGCTAATCGGAGCTAACAACAGAATTCGGTTGCTCGAAAGAATGTTCACGTCTGCTCGCGCTAAGCCCACGCCACTTCATAACGAAAAGCTCGGAAAATGGCGGAATGTCAAAAATGTATTTGAGATGATGAGTACAAGATACTCAGAAATGTAATTAAAATAGAGTATCAAATACTCTCGATTAAATGTATTTGCAAGATACAAAGATGCTTCAAAAAGTACTTGAAATACAGTATCCTGAGTAGGGTATTTGAGACGGGCACAAGTCTGCCCGATAGCCATGCGATGCATGCGCAAAGGCTCTGGTGGAGTATACGAGATCGTTATAGGAGTAATGGGAACCTAACACACCAGATTCCGTCATTCATCTTTTATCGAACGGTATCGACGCCTTAGGGCCTGTAGGTTGCGTTACCGCCATAAATAGACCATCGCAGAACGCTCCGGAGGGCCCCTTTAAGGTCTGTAGACAGCCCTGCTCTAATAAATCTGTAGCGCGTAATCTGACTCTTCTAAGGCGATGTAGATGGCCCGAAAAAATTGTTGTCTCAAGGTATGGCGCTGCAATTTATTATAGTCGTGCAAGCAGGTGGCGTAAGTTTACAGTAAAAAAATTCCGAAATTAATTTACCTCGTTTAAACAAAAAAAGCGAACAAAAAACCTGTTCGAAAATGGCGTAGCCAGGAAAAAAACAAATCCCGGCTACGCTAACGCTGACACGCCTTAAGGATTCATCTTCGAAGCAAGTTGCACACATACAAATGCACGCTTCGAAGAAGTCTCGAACAGTTTTTGTACGATCAATGTCAACAGACCGTCACACGAGGAAGGAAGAAACAGGCCTCGGACGGTGTCTGCGGGCTTTACTTTCGATACGAGATGTTAGAAGCGTGCCCACGGTAAAAGTTTCGTTAAATCGATCTTTAGATCCGGTACATGGGTGACGACTCAAACGAACGGTAATGGACTGCTTGAGGAGTGCTCGACGCACGCGGGAGCGTATACATACCGCCGACGCGTGATGACCTAGACGTGAGAACCTTTTCCCACTGTTGTTAAAGACGCCGTGACGCCGCCGCATTGGTTTGTTTGTTTATTGCGGCGCGTTTGGCGCCCACGTTGGCAAGTTAAAAACAACGTTAGGTCCAACCTTCACAGTTCTTTGTACATGCGAGTCCACCGACAAGATTCGGACTGTTTCCTTTTTTGTACAGATGAGATCCGCAGACGCTGTACCGTATGTCTATGGCATCGACGTACAATGCTTATGGCGTCGTACCTACAATGTATGACCGCTCTGTCAAAACCGGTCAACACACTGCTTCCGACACCGAGACGTCATTGTTGTGCCCGAGACTTTAGCCGCGATCGTCTTGGGAGCTGATCGAAGTGGCAGCGCAGGACATGTCTGAGCCTTCGCTGGATTCCTCGGCGGATTCTTCGGCAGACTCTTCCTCTACATCCGCAGAACTGAGTAGATCACCGGGGAACCGCCACCTCGACATCTGCTCCGGTCGTCCGACTCCGCTGCTGACAGCAACCTGGGGCGGAATCAGCATTCTGTTAAGAAGTACTCTGTAACGAGGCCTCCACAAGATCTTGGCTGAAAAGTAAATCCCCGAATGGGGCAGGTCAAGGTGGATGGACTGACACTCTTACTGTTCAAATCGGCAAGTCTGTACGAATTGCTCTACCAGTGAACCCTGGCCATTTTTATGGAACATATATATATGCAGGTTTCCGCTATAGTTAGTGACAGTTATTAAAAAGAAATCTCCGTCCTTTGTTGCGTACCGCAAATGAACGGCAGCGACAGTATATAGTGCTGCACATTTTGCTGGAAGATGCACCTACATGACTGTATTTAAATTTATTTGACTTATGAGCACTAGGTTTTGCTCAGGATGTTCATGTCACACCATGACGTCAGGTGACACTGAAGTTGCGCTAAGTTGTGCGGAGGCATCTTCCGCGAAATTGGTCTTAGACTGCAGGGGACGGTACAAGTGTAAAACGTCCATAGACAAAAAAAAAAAAAAAAAAAAAACATTATATGGTAAATTGTTGGGCAATTCTGTTGCATACGGATCATTCCATGCCAAAGGAGACGCGGCAAGTTTTTGATGTCTGGTATATGTACAAAGGAATTAATTTTGAACAAGAAAACTTCTAAACTAAGAAAAGAAAAAAAAAACGTTTTTAAATACATTTTATTTTTGCTGATATTATGCTCTAAATTTCTGGAATTTGCATAAAACCGATGTAAAAAAAAAAAAAAAAATTCGGGGTTTTTGCGTGCCAAACCAACGACGGGCATCTGGCACGCACCAGCGGAGGACTGAGGATTAATTTCGACCACCTGGGGATCTTTTGACGTGCAACCGAAAGCTCGGTTACACGGCGCCTTCTCCGCAATAAGCCTCCGTCATATTGCGGGCACCTCGGTCGGGATTCGAACCCGCCACCTGGGGATCCGTAGGCCGGCGCTCTCGCCTCGGAGCCACCGAGGCAACTTAAACCGATGTAGTTAAGCAAAAAAGGGTAAAAAGCGGTTCCGTACCAGAAAGGCTTTTGGGGCGCCTAATTACTCAATATCATGCCCCCTATCTTATACTAAAATAAAAACGTTCAAAAACGCTATTTAGAGCACAAATAAGAGCTACAGTAACGCGCAGTATGTGTTCCCAAACTGGGGAAGCAGATGATGCAGACCTGCGTTCGTCAGCAGTTACCTGGGCAGAAGTAGAGAAAAATTAAAAGGCCAGTATCATCGCATACGTAAAGAGGATGCGGATGCATGGAAGTCAAAATAACGTCCACTTCAACTGAATTAAACGTGTTTTCAGGAGAGCGTTAAAGAGCTTGCGGCGGCGTCTCACACCGTCGACGCTTCGCTGGCGAACGCCGGCGTGCGTCGCCTACGAGGCGGGCGCCTAGAAGCATAATCAAAAACTCATTAAAAAAAAAAGAAAAAGAAAAAAAATTACACAACAAAACTAACTTTTTTAATTTTTTAATATGTTGAACAGATGAAGTGAGTTGAACTTTTGGCTATTTCGAAAGTCGCGGACACCGCTGCCCACATTGCTTTTCTGGCTCTCAATATGGCCGTTTTAGCATAAACTGGATATTCTGTCATTTAATTCAAAGACGACAAAGTGAGGCTTTCAATATTTAATAAATGCAGTTCAATTATTAGTCTTAAGAGAAAAAAAAAAAAAAATTGTAGCTAACGCTCAAATTCAAGATGACTAAAAAAATACAAGAAATCTCATAAAATCTTTTCTTTTTGGAGATGTTATTTGGACACGAAATGGCGCCCCTCACATGTTCGTATTTTAGTGTAAACTAATAGGACATATCATTAAGCAATTAGGTCCCCACAAATTTGTGTAGTACACAACCGTTTTTTACAATGTTTTTCTTAACTAGAAGGGTTTTATGAAAAGTCCAGAAATTTAGAACATGATATCAGCAAAAATAATTTTTTTTTCTCAGAAATATTTTATTTTTTTAGTTCAGATGCATTCTTATCTAAATTAATTCTTCGTACATATCCCAAGCATGAAAAATTGCCGCGTGTCTTTTGACATGGAATGGCCCACACGCGGAACGTTGTGGATGGATGAATGGATGGGAATGGCCATACCCTTTGTAACGGGCGGCAGCTTGCGCCATCTAGCCTAACATTTCGTAAATTTCTTTTGACACCCCCCCCCCCCCCCCCCCTTGCCCCCTTTTTAAAGCATTTCCATTGCTTATTATTATTTGTATTTTTACCCCTCCTTATATCTTTTCCACCAATCTTCCAAACTCCTCTTAGTTACCGCAATTCTTTCCTTATCCATTCGTCCATCCATGTCTGCAAATACCAGTGCTCCCTCCAAATCTGTAGTCATCCCCCCAGGAGGGTGGGACGAAGCCCCATGCACCTTAAGATTACATGTTGTATAGTTTCCCTTTCGCGGTTGCATACGTCGCATAGAGTGCCTATTTCTTAGAATTTAGCCCTATATGTTTTTGTTCTTAGCACCGCCGTTCTAGCTTCAAACAGCAATGAGCTCCCCAATGAATTATCATACAACTGTTCCTTCTTTATTTCTCGTTTTCGTGCCCTGTATATGTTAGTATCACGCCTAGTATCACGTGGCATCAGGTTACGTGGCGTCAATTTCTCCGCTAAATTTAGCGGGGAAACTGAATGTGGTCTGAAGGTCACGTGACGTTAACTTTCTCGCTAAATTCAGAGGATAAACCAAAATGCCGTATAGCCGGGGTCACACAGCTCATATATCATACGAAAACAGTGTGCAAACACGAGTCATCACAATATTCGTGGTTCGAACACCGCGTTCCAAGCTTCTCCCTACCTTATTGTCCTGCGGCATTCGAAGCAGGGATCTTGCGGTGACTCGCATTAGAATCTGTATGCAGACTGTCTTTTGTATGACGTATTAGCACTGTGACCCCGGCTTATAGGTCACGTGACATGAGGTCACGTGACGTCAATTTCCTCGCTAACTTTTGCGGGGATACTGAATTGGTGCGTAGGTCACGGGACGTTGATTTTCCCGGTAAATTTAAAGGGGTAAATTGACGTAACGTGACCTGATGTCACGTGATCCATACTCCATTCAACTTCCCGCTAAATTTAGCAGAGAAACTATATTGGCGTGCAGGTCTGTGACGTACCATAATGCAGCACTGCGCGCGTTGTATTTTGGGAAGTCAGAGGTTTCACGAAACGCTGCTTCATAAAAGGCGGCTTCGAGAAATCCGGAGCAACCAGCCAAATAACATTTCACGTTAAATACTAATAATACTAATAATAATGAAGCTGAAGGCACATACCATGGCGTCAGAGAGACGACCCTGCACAGCCAAGGCCTCATTGTTGTCCAGCGTAAGATCAGAGTCCGTGTGCGCGTCGGCCAGCTCTCTCAGCTCCGGCAGACGCATAAGAAGCTTGGCGTACACCAGCTGCGGCACTTTCCTCCACTCCAAATACCGCCGCAAGAGAGCGCAGTACTTTTCTTGTTCTTTCGACACGATGTCCAGATCCTCTAGACCAGCCCTATCAGGACACAGCAGCGTAATGGCGGACAGCAAGAGCAACGTCATGCCATCCGGTTTCAAACGACGCGTGGCCACAAGGAAATCCCGGTGCTTTGACCACAGAGGCTCTTGTACCAAACGCTCGACGTCAGCGGTGCGTAGGGCGGGTACAGGCGGACCGTCACCCGGTAACGTCCTCGATGACCAGCGGTCGCCGTCGAAAGTGAAGGCACTGCGGAGGAAACACAGTTCAAGCACCGAGGTCCGTAGAAGCACCTGCCTGTGAGGCTCTGGCACTCTGCAGAAGGCATCCAGTTCCTGGGCAAAACCGCTGAGTTGGTGGATGAGGGTGAAGAAGAGGTCCAGCAGCTCTGTCCTCGACCGGTCCTGGTCGTGGAAGAGTCTCTCCGCGAAAGGCGCCATGGCACATCCAGTGGTGTGTGCGTTGACCAGCTCTTCTAGCAGGAGCACGTCCTCGGAAGTCAGTGGCTTTGTGCCGTCGCCCGTGCGGGCGGCTTGCGGAGCCTGTCTTTGCTGCATCCGCGCCCGGCGCTCTTGCTCGCTCATCACCCAGCTGGCTTCCATGCCGATCGAGAGGCACTTGGCGAAACGGCACGCCTGGCAAGACTTGCGGGAGGTCAACGTGATGTGGCAGCGACCCTGGCGGATGAGATAAGGGAGTGCCTAATCTATACAATAAAACTAAAACAAAACAAACAACAAACTTCATCGTATAAAAAAAAAAAAAACTTTTACCGCATTTTATTTTATGATAACGTGCTTTATTGTACGATAACGTGCGAAGCGGATCATTTACTTTAATGTTTCGGTTCGAGTTTGAATGCCCAAAATCAGCAGGAAACGACTTTCCGCAAAATTTAGTACGGAAGTTGAATTGGTGTATACTTTACGCCAACTACGGTTTTCAAGCTAAATATGGAGGACAAAATACAAGCCTCACTTTTGCGTTTCATTTGTTTGCGGAAGGTTTTTTTTGTAATTTTTGTCTGTGAGTATTTTTATAACAACTTAGTTACATATGCTGTATAAACTTAAAATTAACGCGAAGCTAGAATATTTGGACAACTTAGTAGCTAAGACTAAGCTAGGCGGGACAGAGGACAGAAGCAAGAGCGACACGAACAGTCTCGATGTGTAGAGCGCAAACACTGCTGGGAGACATGCAACGTGCGTCTTGTGATGAATTTCCTTATGCTCTTCAAAACCACCAAGCGGCAATATGCACCCACACATTGTTTCCAAACAAGCCCGCTTTGCCCAGACCAGGCGTGGGCGCTGCGCGAGCGTAGAAACCAAATTTGACGTGGTGTCAGTGAGTTGAGTTGGTCGATAGTCACTGACAGAATGAGAACGACAGGCCGTATCTTTCGAACGCCCGGCCTCCCGCACGTCTACTCCATGCCTTCCTTCGTGCTTTTACAGCGCGCGAGAGCTCGAGGTGCACGAGACGCCAGAGCATCGAAGGTATAGGAAGCTCGCGCTGCAGGCGGGACAACTGAATTTCCTTCCCGCCGTTCTTATCCTGCCGGTGACCATAATATGGTTGCGCAAACAAGCTGTACATTGTGAGATATCGATGGATGGATGTTAATGGTTGCGCCCTTTATAACGGACGGTAGCTTGCGCCACCCCTTTTGACTTCTAGGCTAGGTAGCTTGCGCCACCTAGCCTATAGAAGTCAAAAGTATCATTCGTCCCCTCGCCTTTGCTTCCCCTCCGCATCTTTCTAATAGGTTGTACGGCACAGCCGGCGTTAGTTGCCAGGCGAAGGTGTGTTAATATTTTTTTCTACAGTCGAAATTTTGTGTTTGTGGTGGTGGTGAATCAGGCCATATATAGGAGAACTGCAATCTTTTAGTCTATCGAAGCGAACATCTATAACTCATCTTAGCAGCCCCGAGTACACTAGTATTTAACGGAATTATCCTGAAATTTGTAAAATAGTCCATGATGTAACATCAACTTGTCTTAATCATGCTAGAGGCTGTGTAACATGACTCACGTCTATTGGGTTGAGTTGCTTTTTTTTTTCATTTCACTCTCTGGGCTTAATATGATTTATTACCTCTAGCTAGTATTTCTTCTGGACTGCGCATAATTGAGGTTCTTTGTTCCCGTAAATTTAATTCATGTCTATGAGACACTAAAAGTTTGACTATTTATACCCATTGCAACATCAAGAAGGAAAGTTTGACGTCTTATTCTTGGGCTGCGCGAAGCAGTTCTTACAAGATTTGACTGTCGAAGAAAAAAGGACGCATTTGGCACTTGAAACGTGTACGCCTTGATAAAACAACATAAATGTAACCTGAGATGCACCTACTGATATCCTAATTTAACACACGAAGTGGAAAATTAGTAAAGCAAATAGGGGCACTTTTTTTCTTCTTTTTTCAACTACGGTTCTCGATGTGCTGACAAATTTAGAAGCGCGTCTCAACGTTTGTCGTGCATTATTGTTTTCCGTGGGTGTTTTCTGTTTGAATCTTGTCTGGCTTGTTTTCGATGCGGTCTTTTTCTACGTATCGGAATGGATGTTAACTCGACGGAGAGGGTCCTTACTGCCGGGCATGAAGGGTTACGCTTGGATCCTCCGACGAGCGCAGCCGGTTTAATGTCAAGGTACTTCTCTTGTCGTAGTTGTCAATTTTAGGACTGACTTGCTATTTTTTTGTCCAGTTTTAGAAGAGAGAGGTTGATTGGAACTATTCCTTATTCTTCAACTGAGTGTATGCAGCATATCTCTATTTATATAGTCTGTTACATCATAAGATAAGCAGCATCAGATGCTCCGACTACACCACGCGCTCGTTGCTCTCCGGTGTGGGGCCATAGACCGACAAAGCCTGGCAGATTCCCACGAGAAGCGGCCGCCAAAACGGAAATGGTGGAGCGGCGGACAACGGATGAGAGGATAGCCACGTGACTGGCGCCCCGCTGCGGCGAGACGCCGAAACACACTTCTCCCGAACGAACAAGTGTGTTTCGGGTCCTCGCCGCTGCAAAAGCTGTGCGCTAATGTCCAGGTTTCTCGAAAAATGGCTCTTTGATGGTCTGTGCTACCTGCTCCTCGCGTTCCAAATCTGCGAAAGGGCACTCAATGACTCCGTCGTCGAACTGCCAGGCTTTGTGTGTACAGAGGAGGCTATGGTATGGCTTCGCTTGCACCGAAGCGTCGATGATGCTAAAAAGCTCGCGCTGGAGGCGGAGCATGTACTGCTAATTTTGTCTGGCAACAAACTGAATGGTTTGACATGCATGGTAGGCTCCACCATGCACGTGTTTTTTTTTGTTTTTTTTTTCCCACGAGCTCGCTGTGCAGGCTTAGTTCAAAACAAGACATGTTGCTCACACTTGTGCTTTCCCGTACCAGCGCTAACTCATGGTGAAACGGAGTGTACCGACGGGGATTCGAGCATTCTGACGTGAAGAGAGCTTTCAGAATTTTGAATATTATAGCGCGAGCGCCAGCCGGTCGCTAGATCAGCACCTTATCGCAGCAGCCATTGCTGGCCTTCTCATGTCTTACCGAGATTCCGAGCCAGTGAAACGAGAGTTGACGAGCCTCCACGGAGGCTAATGTTGGGGAGGACACAATGCAAGCTAAAATGGCGAAAACCTGGCCTGCTATGGTAATGATAAAATAAAATAATCTGAAAGAAACAAACAAAAAAAACTGAACGTTGGTTACGGCGGCGCCGATGGACATCTGCTTAAAGCGTCTATAAGCGCGTGCGCTGAAGGTACGCGCCAACGCCAGCGTCGACTGCGTCATGCTTGACAAGTCCTTGAGAAAACAGCTCAGTAGACGGCGCTCGCGTCAGCAGCAATGAGACGCTGATCTAGCGGCCGGTTAGTGCAAGCGCAATATTCTTGAAATATCTAAACTACGTACGTTAGACCAAGTAAGCCCAGTTTAGATTATGCTTGAAGTTTTTTGTTTTCTTTTTTATAATGCGTGAATTATATTGTAAAAAAGCCTCCAGAACTCAATAAATCTAGTTTAGTTTTTTTCAGTTCTCACCTGGTAAGGGCAGGTAAATCTTGCTTCATTCTGCACCGATCGACGAAAAAAGGCCTTGCAACTGTCACACGAGATGCCCCCGAAGTGATAGCTCTTCGCTCGGTCACCGCACACACCACACACTCTTGCCGCTGGACACGGCAGCCGCTGACTCGGTTCTCCACTCGCTGGAAGCAGCTGCTGTTGCTGGATCGGCTGTTGCTGAACACCGGACTGTCGAAGAATTGAGGGCTGAAGAGCTGGGTGTTGAAGAGGTGAAGGCTGGGGACTTGTCTGCTTAGGAGCCGTCTGCTGGAGAACGAACTGGCGGAAGAATGCTTGCTGAGGACTTGTTTCGTGCAGAGTCATCTGCTGAGTACTGGTCAGCTGAGGACATTGCTGTAAGAGGGTGGGCTGCTCGAGATGTGGCTCTTTTAAAGGTGGTTGTTGCGCAGGCGGTTTCTCAAGCTCTTCTTGAGAGGCCTTTTTTGGGGTTCGGCTGTCTGGACGGTCCGTCATAACTGTAGCACAGCCACTTGATGAGTAGGTCGTGAATGATGTGGGCCACCGTAAATCAAGCACTGCAAAATAAAATAACGATAATGATCTCTGGAGAAGGGGAACAAAGGGGGACAAAGGACAAACACAAATCTCCAAAAACTGCAAGGTGAGCGAATCCGCCTGGTCCTGGTATTGAAAAAGGGCCCGCTCTGTTTCCAGTGAAGGCCTCTGCCAACTGAGCTAAGCAGGAGTTAGGCGTAATTAGAGCGAAAAGATTTTAACACCTGCCCCCAGCCTAACACCAGCAAAGGTGAACGGCCTGCATTTTAAGGTTATGATTATAATGCAGTCAATGCAAAGGTACAAGCTCGCTTGCACCTTTGCATTATTTGCATTATCCTCACTGCAACAAAGTTGCAAACCATTAAGGAAGTTATTTTTTTCTTTATTATAGTAATGTAGGTTTAAGTGGCGGAGAAGTTTGCCTTCTTATGAAGTCCGTCAGAAACGCAGCCAAAGCAAAAAAAAAAAAAGAAAAAAAAAAGAAAACTCTATTTGCTTTGGCTCAGTTACGTCATTACTAAGGAAAATGTTGTTTTTTTGTTTTTTTTATTGTGGAAAAGCTGCGGAAGGGAGCATTTAGGCATCCTAATTGACAAAATACCATTCGCGACTCCAGCGAACTAGAGGGGGTGCGCTGGTCAGGCAAAACGGTGGACGAAAGGAGGTCGTTTTTGTCGTTCAGCAGGCGGACCACCATCAATTTCTTGCGCTGCAGCGTAAAATCGGTGTTACATATGAAAGCAAAGCAATTTTTTGACGATAAAAACTCTATATTCAGTGCGTAGGAATGACACGTCGGAAGCATAAAAATAATTACTAGAATCGATGTTTGTTTCTATGCTGCCAGCAAGAATCAAGCAGCGTCAGCAGACGAGAAACGACCTCCTCTCTTGAGCTCCTCGGTGTTGGCACTACACGGCGTTGATTTCGCTGGAGTAGCCAATACTTCGCTTTAGCTTATGTCAGAGCGCAGTAAGATGCTAAGACACAGATACACAGACGTATGCTCCGAAAGCGCGCGTGCACGGTGCATTAGCTTCGCGTGATTGTGGTTTAGCGGGTGGTAAGATACGCAAATAAAGGTGACAAATTCAGTGACGTTGCGTTTTTGGCGTTGCTTGATTAGCCCCAATAACTCGAAGGGTCGGCCACAGTCTGACTTGCCGAAGCTGTAATCTTTTTGTTTCTCAGCTCAATAAAAACAAAAGTTTGACTCCAGTGCGCATGCTCAGAGCATATTTCACAACGCAGTCAACAAAAATGTCAACGTGCAGAAGGCGATTATTCGAATGGACTATACGAGTAACAAATGAGCCCGCCCTCGATTTATGATACTATGTAGAACTACAATACCACTGAATAATTTTGTTCAGTGAGGACTGACAACTAAAGTGTGATAGGTGATTATCTAAGATATTTCAATGACTCGCTGTGATCACAGTAATGACATTGTTATCAATAATAATTTCTGAGAAGGGAAAGTACTAGCTAATAACTGGTATCCCTATAAAATTATATAGTACTTTTTTGAGCCTCTGTGTATGTGTATGTCATGTCTTTTTTTCATTCGCAGCAACTCATGTAACGTCCCGAAGCGGAGTGTAAGCTTACCTTAGAGTTGGCCACGTCACCGATTTCAGGTCACATTGCTTTGATGAGTGTTCCACATCCTCAGATGGACAAACGCCATTTGTACTTATCAGGAAGGGGTTTCTCCCACAAACGTCAGGTAGTCCTCAGGGCTTGATCGTCCTCGCCACCATCCATCCCATAGGCCCCACTGTTCACAGACACACTTATCCTTGGTAGTGCAGGGAAGTCAGTCATCATTGTTCTCCGTTGTGTTCAGGGTGTGACTCGTTGGCAGTCCAGTACAGCAGACTTTCCGGGAGCTTGGAAGGTGGCGTGACACACATACATATCTATTCAGTTAGCCAACAAGAGAGAGAAGACAAAGTAGTAATCTTGCTGAACCGTTGAGTTCAGGTGATAAAGTAAACTCACGTAAGTTTGCTCGTGCCGTCAGTCAATTTTTAAAAGATGAAACTGCGAATGAACTAAACGGCTAAAAGACAACGGAACCCAACGCCAATTTCCTTGATAAGTGAAGGTTTCATGCTGAAGTTTTGCTCAGACGATGACGTAATGACACGTCAATTTCATATCTTTTACCTAAAATATGTGAATCGCACCACTTGCACGCACCACGGAGCGAACTAACAACGGCGTCGACTACATCGGTGGCAAGCCAAGAAGGAAAGATAGTTGAGAGCGTTTCCTGGAGAAGCAAGCTGCTTTCACAAGGTCTCCGGCCGACAATTAGATAGGTTAGGCGAAGTTACCTAACCGCTGTTTATACACCGGCCCCGACTGTTTGCTTGTTGGGCTCTTGTCTCCGGCAAGGTGAACTGCCAGGAGGCTCGTCAGGTACGTTAGAGTCTTCCGCTGTTTCAGGGTCGACTCGAAGGTTGTTCCTATCTGGAGTTGAGGTCAGCGCTGGAATGGTACAAAGCAGACAGTCCGGCAAGTTAACTCGATGGCTTAATCGTCACTTCGACTATCGCTTTCAAAGTGAGGTGCTAGACAGTGGCATATCGAAAATGCGACAAGCCACTTTTTAGTGTACATTCATTTAACGATACTGCTAGCTACCCTCCCCTGAAAGCCATAGCAGAAGATACAGTGTAAAAACACACATAAAGACACTAACACAGAAAAAGTGAAAACGTGTTTGAACCTGTATCGTTCGATTGATCCGAAGTTTAGTATTCTGGACGATTCGTGGGTGTTGATGTGATATATTTTTAGCACTGATATTAAATTTGTTGTAGAGGAAGGAATCCTAATATTTTAATCTATTTATCGCTGTCCTAGCAACTGGTGTTTGAATGTTGGTTAAAGACCGAATTGCAGGCGAACCTTTTTACGAGAAAAAAAAAAATCCTCCCCAATGTCCTTCTTTCCAATTCCTTCTCGTACACCTCTCTCCTCTTCACCCGCAGAAGCCAGGTCCGGGAGCTATTTTTCGCATTATCCACAGCCTAGATAAAAAACAAAAAAAAGCTTAATTCTTTCGTAGAAATGACAGAATAAATAATGTCTCTTAATGTTTCAAATTTCAGATATTTCAATAGCGAAAGCGCACACTGAAATAATCGCATCAATAAACTAACGCCACTCTTGGCAGGTTTCAGCTTTTGCCATCGAATGGCAAAGACGATCGACGAGACGAAGTTCATTAGGGCCGCCACAGATATGATGTAGGTCTGTTACCGTCCATTAACGGACGCATCAGAAACGCAGCGCTCCTCTATCCAAACCGCTATTCAGACATCTTGCTGCGTCGGTACCGGACCGCAGAAGATGACTCGTCAAGTAATTACCAACCTCATGTTCCCTATTGTTTGAGTTGTTTGAGATTTTGTTCATTGTTCCTTGTGTATTCTTATTGCTTTTATTCCCCACTCCCCTCTGTGATGCCTTTGTGCCCTGAGGGTAAAATAAATAAATAAATAAATAAATAAATAAATAAATGCCGTTAGTTCTATACCTTGTTTTACCTTATTAAGTCAGAGTGCAGCCGGAGCGCCAAAAGCGCAATCTCACGCTGCTTGTCATCTTTTTGGAAGTCTGCTGTAATTGGCCCAAATAATCGAGTGAAGTGAATGCACCATGGCTTTTAGCATGCAGCGTGTGCGTCTCTCGGTCCTTTGACTCCGCTCTTACTCGTGGTGAAACGAAGCATAACTCGGTTAGGTTTTTAGTAAGGGACGTACCAACCTCTTAAAGGGCAGATCCGGTCAAAACGAAACCAAAATAAATTTCTGGTATCGCTTTAGTTGTACAAAATATGATCACAGCCGAAATATTACGTCATAGTGAAACCGCGCATTCCACTAAAACCAATCTGAAAGATGCGACGAGCTGCTCTTTAGCGGGCGGCAAGCGGGTTAACTTTTAGTCGAGGAACACCGGCGTGGCATCCTCATGACGTCACGTTGCGGTGGAGCCAACGTTATTAGATTAGCTCGGTTACGGAACTGCTCATAGACGCTGCATGCACGAGCAGTACTCCCCTAAATCACCACCACTAGCCTCCCGTCGATTGACGCGTCACATGGCTGCTATGGCAACTGCAGTGTATTTTATGGAATACGTATGTTTCGAAGCGCAGCGTCTAGATGGCGTTCCACCGTACTCTATGGCGCACACAGTTTGTAAACGAAAATCTAGATGGCGCTTCGAACGACGGGAGGCGGACTCAAGTGAGTGAGGGGGTACCCTCTTCCGCGAGAGTTCCCCAACTGAGGTAATCTAGTAACGTTGGGTGGAGCTCAGGTCGATTGACCGGACCGCGTACCGCGGCACCACGATAACGTCACGTCGCGGCTGTACAGATGATGACCACTGTTGCCATTCCCACAGCAGATAGTTTCGGTTTTGCCGTATAGACGCCCGAAACCAAACTTTGAGCCCTGATATTTATAAAACTGCACAAAATTAAAAAAAAAAAAAAAACCTTGCTATACAGGGACACTGTTTTAGGTAAAAACAGCTGTAAACCCAAATTTAATATATATATATAAATTAACCAGAGTTGCTTTTTAAATGCGGCAGCATTTCTTTAGGAAGCTCATTCAGATATCGTTAGCACCAGTCTTAGGTAGTAACGCGTTACTGCAATTTCGTTACTTTTTTGGTAACTTGTAACTGTAACGAGTTACTCTTTTAAAATGTAACTTGTAGTTCTATTACTTTTCTCTGAGGTAACGATGAAAGTAACGACGTTACTTTTGTCGTTACTTTCCAGTGTTTTATGAATAATATATCACTGAACGAGGGTACAATTTAGATATTCCTTGCACTTTTCAAATCATTTATTCCGACATTTCGAGTGTCAAGTTGGGCTTGCACGAACTTGCGAATATGTTCTTTCTCACGAGTCACGACCCGAATAGAGCCACATGTAGATTTCATTAAAAAAATCTAGTTATCCTTACGCACGCGCTTGTACTTTGTGACTGAACACTTACATCTAATGGTGAATTCCGCTCGCAGATCTCGAGCGCTCCAAAAGTGCTCCATTTGGAGCGCGCATATTCCGCTCGCAGATCTGGCTCAAGTTGGTCATTTTCCGCTCGTAGATCTCTGGCAGCGCCCGCTCCACGGAGCGCCCCAAACTCCGCCGAACTTGCTCTGCGGGATTTCACGGATCTCTCCGGAAGCTGACAGAGCGGCCCACGTGATTTCCGTCTAAATCGGCGGTCCGCATGCGCGGCGAGGTTGGAGAGATCGGCGGGCCGGTCGGGTCGTGGAGTTGGATTTGTACGGGTGCGTCGGTTGTTTACTCTGGATTGTGACGGCTCGAACGCTTCTACCTCGCGTAGATCAGAAATAAAAAGCCGGGAATGTGGAGTGTGGCAAATCGTAAGCGCTGACGTCTGTGATCGTGAGAGGAAGAACGAGAAAAAGAACGACAGAAAAGCCGGAGGCAGACGCAAGGTTAGGCCTATCCTTTCTGCAGCCAGTGATTGTTTACCTTTTTACACTGCATTCCGTCGGCGTTTTCCCGTGAAATAAAGCAAGAAGTGGTTAGGCAACGACCGCGAAAATGATGATTTGTTACCTATGTGTTTATTAAAGTCGTACTACAAATCTGAGCTCCACCGCTGGCAATCGCTGTCCGTGCCCCGCCGCTTCGAGGCGGCCGAAAGGTATGTGACAGTGCCGAACGCGGGCGTCTTCATTATTTGTGACAGGGGGGCCGCGGTACGTATAATTTCGCCCGGCCTGTGTCGCGTGTTACTTCTGCAGCTAAGCAGTGACAGTCGTCACTGGTCGTCGGAAAGATCAGCCGGCTGAGGCGTTGGTGGGCCGGTCAAGTTCGAGCAGCGGCCATTTTGTACGGCGGAGGGAGAAGGGGTGGGGAGGGGTGTGGGGGAGGTCGCTCCAAATATGCAAGCTTATCTTCCCCTCGTCGATTCGGAGCGGGTCCCACGGAGCGGAATTTTGCCTCCCTCGCGGATTTTGGAAAGCGCTCCAGATCTACGAGTGGAATTAACCATAAGTGTGTTGAAGCACTATCTATGTTGTGGTTTTTATTTTTTCTGTGAAAATGATTTTAATCGGGTGAATCAACTGTGAAACAACAATACACGCGGAGGGCGCTGCGCATGTTCCGTATTTTGATTTGCGCCACTACTCGGGCGTGGAAATTTTCAAACACTAATTTCGAGAAGCAACTTCTGCTAAGTTACTATATGAAGTAAAAAGCATACTTTTAATGTTATGCAATAAAACTTGGTGAAGGGCGTTTTCTAGTTTTTCCTAATCTTTTTTTTTTCTGTTACAGAAAAGTAACTGAAAAGTAACGTCGTTACTTTTTAAAAGTAACTAACTCTAACGAGTTACTCTCTTGTTGCGGTAACTGTAACGGTAACTTCGCTACATTTTTCAGGAAGTAATTCTAACTGTAACGAATTACTTTTTAAAAGTAACTTACCCAAGACTGGTTAGCACAGAGTTAGCGGAACTATCTGGTGAAACTCTTTATTAGGTTGTTTTAAGTCGAGGTCCAACTGCGGATATATTATGCAAAAGACGGTCTGCAGACAGAGATTATTAGGGAACCGCTTTGGCGCATCCAATAAGGTACAATCGGTCTTCCGGTGCTAACTGCGCATGCGCTGCCACAGAAGACTCGCGCATGCGCAGTTCGTACCGGAGGGCCCATCGTATCGTATTGTATGTGCAAAAACGGTTCCCTAAAACTTACTATCACGTCTGCATGCAGCGTACACCGTGTCTTTTGATACGATGTGTGTACCATTTCTACGCTCCGATAACGACACCCGATAACGATACGATGCCTATTCAAAAGGCGCCGGCGGAGTATCGGGTATCGTTATCGGAATGCATAAACGGTCTACCGAAACCCCCTATTGAGAACAGGCATCAGGGTCGACGCGCGGCGCTTCTAGCTGCAGCCTTCACAATGTCGCCAGACGGACGGCTCCGCAAAAGAAATAAAAGCGATTCCAAGTTGAGGGTCGTCGGGGAACCTTGGCGACCGAGTAACGGTGCCGCCGCTCGTCCCTCCGTGAGAAAAAAAACAAAACAAAACAGAAAAACTGAGTTGTTTCAAGGCGCGCAAACAAGTTTCGGGAGCGAGTCCGTCTCGCCAGGTTCCGGTGCGATCCGCCGCACAACGGCCAACCTTTTGTTTTACCGTACGCGAGCGGTGGAAGCGCGTTCTTTTCACGCTATTCCCGTCGACAACAAATGTTTCTCGCGCGCTGAAGCGATGTCAAGTTGAGACCAGAGGTGGGCCCACGCATCATCTTTGCTTTTGTGATAGTAGGACACACTGCAAAGTAGTTTCCCTAAAATGCGTCAAATTGCAAGAAAATAAAATGAAAACATAAAAAAGGTTGTAAGAAAACACATTTGGGCATCAAATATTAGAAAGCAGGATGCTAGTGTTGTCTTTAATGGTG